ACTACAATTCATAATATTTATGATAATATAGTGATTAAGTTAATGAAAATACTTTCAATTTAATTTATAAGTTATAATTAGTTTATTTGACGAAATAATTAAGACATTTAAACTTTGTTAGTTATGATTAAAGATAAAAATGGTAGACATTAATGTCATAATTGAAAAATTGCATTTCTATTTTTGTAGATTTTTAAAGTTATGGTTATAACTTATAAGTTATAACCATAATAATTATTGTCTCATTAATAACTTATTCATTTAAAACATCATTTATTAGTATTTTATTATTTTAACTTTTAATGTCATTAAATGTGATTGATTCTAAACCAATTACTGTAATCCGATTGCAAACCCAAATACTGTATCTGAAAAGAGTGTCATATCATTAAATTCTTATCTTTCATTACATTCAGTGAATGTCAATCACTATTGAATCGATCATTCATTTAAAAATTTGTTAAATCTTTTGGCCTCCATTTGGAAGCTTTATTAATGTTAATTATAAATAGTGAACATTTTTAAAATACTAATTCAGCAATAGCGATACAGCATGATACTAAAATCGTTAAACTATTGATAATTCATTATAACTTATTATAAGCAAATTGTTTTAATTATTTAATATTAAATTTAGTCTTGTTATGTATTAATAAGGTGATACAATAATTAACAATGTATATTATAAATTTTATGTTGTTAAAATTTATCACATCATTTTAATCAATTGTAAAAGTGTTAATTTAAAAAAAATAATTTTAAAAATTGTAAATGAAATTCCATTAAATTAGTAGATTATAGTAAATATTTGGTGTTATTAAGCTATCAATGACTGATATTTTTAAATTAAATTATTGTTAGAAACTATAACTTAAAGTAAAAGAAAATACATTGTAATCACTACAATGTTATTAATTTTATGACAATTCCTAAGAAATGTTTGCTAAAGAAAATAGTTTAAAATAAAAATAAAAAAGCTTTTTCTACAAAAAAAAAATTTTATAAAAACAATAAAGTTGATATTTATACATTTTAATTATTTATGCAAATTTATCATTAGTCATTTAATACAGTATAAAACTGTATTATTTATTTTTGGATGTTTTTTTGCAAATATCTTTTTATTTATCAAAGCTTTTTATTTACTTATAAGTTATAACTAAATTGCTAATTATTAAATGATTTACAACTTATAAATTATAAGTATATTTATAATCAATACAATTTAGTGATTAGATAAGAGCTAATTATACTGTTTATTGAATGTGTATCTAAAATAATCAACTGTTTGTATTAACTGTATATTTGCACAATTTTAGTTATTTGTTGATTATTGTTCAATTGCCGTCAATTGCAATTTGCCAAGGTAGTTACGAATTCAAGTTATTAATTTCATTATTTCCAAATAATAACAATTGGCAATTAGACATTTGTGTTTATAAATTGTTTGCATTAAATATTAGTTTTAACAATACAATCCATTTGTTAACAAATTTTTGCTAAATCACAATACAATGTATAATAAATTAATTTAAATCTAACACTTTGTTAGTATCAAAATATTTTTGTCATTATTTGCAAATTCTTTCCCAAATGAGGCTCATTTTCTTTAACTCTTTTTAATTAAAGTTTAAGTTTCAAAAAATAATTATAAAACAGATTAATTTTTATTTATTTGTTAATTATTAACTAATTAAACAATTCTTAAGCAATCAATTATATAAATTATAGACTCGTGTATGTACTACAGTGTTCTGAATTAATTTTATACAATTACACTGTGTATTAAACCATTTTTATATTTGTATACTGTGTACAAATGCAATTAATATAGACATTGAAACTACTAATAAAATAATTAGTTGTTAACAACTATTGAATCATTAGTGAAGTGTTGATCGATCTCTCGGTCTCTCACTTTAATATCCCCTTTAAATATGAATTTCATTTTAATTCCGTATTCATGGAAATACAAGCAATTCATTAATCAATACATTATTGACACACATTTGTGTAATATATTACAATATAATTGATATTTTATGGCATCATAGAAATGTATTTATAAAATATTTAAAATATCATAGCTTATTAAAAAGAGAGAACATATAATTAGATAGGAATTGAAGGCAAACATGTCTTCTAATGATTGCTCACATCTTATATTTTCTAAACTTATAAAATCTACAATTCATGTAATATTGTCGTGAAATTCAATCAGAATTACACAATAATGACATCGATTTTATTATATAATGTAATAAAAAACATTTTAATTGTAAATTATGTTTAATTCAATCGGAATTAATATAAAATATGAATTTTTGCTTCATTTTCAATGAATTGCGTGAATCCAATGTTTGGCGCATTAATAGAGTCAACACTTTTACCTATTAAACACATACTCTCCCTATTTTTACCAAATTATTATCAAATGTATTATAACAACAATTTAAATATTATTTCTTGATATTTAAATCAGTCAAATCATAAACTAAATTATAAATTATGTTTTAAATTTAAAATATAAATATAAAAATTACATGACATACAATATTAAATTTATAAATGTTTTAATTGCCAGTCTTTTAGTATTAAAAATTCAAGCGAAATATTGTTTTAGAAAACTAGCTAGATTAGTTGTGATTAAATATGAGATATACTGAGCATTTTGTGTTGATATGTATGGATGGGGTAAGTGTGAGGGTGTGTGTCGGGTGTGTCGGGTGTGTCGGGTGTGGGCGGGTATGGGTTATGTGTAGACGCGGTGTCTATAGTGACGAAAGCGATCAATAAGTGTATTGAGAGATATAGTGATCGCAATTCTGGCAGTGAATTGAAGTGCTATTAGTCTTACACTCGTATGCATTGAATAGACATTGAATTCTCGTACGAATTATTAGTTATATTCATATATTAGTTATGGTTTAGTCTCAAAGAGTGACCTATTATTGAATTAGTGAACACTCGTTATAATCAACCGCCGATTGTGTGACCCATTGTTTACACAACTCAATAGTGAATCCTTATATCGACTGATAGTTTGCACTAATTGTTTGCAAAATGCATTTCAAACCAATCAATAGCAACACTAATCATAACAATCACTACTTATACCTATTATTAGCATTTCTTGTCATGTCTTTCATTCAAACCTCAGGTCTGTTCACCCATTCATTGCATTCATTTCGTCCATACATTCATTATTTGATTGCAAACTAATTATACAATCAATAGTTTGCCTGCAATTGAAATGTAAACAATGAATACAAATATTGATTGAATGGATTGTATTGTATGTATAGATAACGCGATCGCATCCGTCAGTCCACTACTTCTGATTGAAAACAAGGCGCTCAACATTGTCTGCAATTACACCAATCAAGAGGGACAACACGTTATGGTCGAGTGGAAGTGGTCTGCAACTCATGCACTCACACATTGTCTGTCTTTGCGGTAATCACTGTTAATCACCCATAGGTTCAAAGAGGAGGTCCCTTACGATTCCTTTACACCCGAAGACAAACAACGAATCACTCGCGACTCCAAAGACGGATCGCTTTTCATCTCAAAGGCCAACAAAAAGTATTTACCGTTTTATGAATTGAGACATTTGTGTGACAAATGGTTGTGTTGTTTGCAGTGATATCGGGAAGTGGAGGTGTGAAGACCCCAAAAATCCACAGTCTTTCACCAAAATTATTGTCAGATGTGAGCCATTCATTGTAATCACAATTAGTTGTGGGCTTTTTTGTTGACCATTTGTTTATCCACTGCCAGCCAAGCCGTGGATGTATATGTTTGAAGAGTTCCAGAAGACTAACTATAAGTCAGCGAATATAGTGGAGGGACAGCGGTTTCACTTGAAGTGCGAGGTTATGGAGGACTACCGGACAGACGCCACCATTGAGTGGTTTATGTACAATGAAAGCGATCACTTGAATCCAAACAAAGAGATGAAAGTATTGCAACCAACCGTTGAATCTTCCGATGGCACTGAACCACACATTAAGATCAGTCGAGTGAACAACTCTTTACAGTACTTAACCATCGAGAAAGTAGAGCCAACCGACAGATATTATTATGTCTGTATTGCCGATAACGGCGTCTCAACCGTTAACAATACCATTCTTCTTAGAGTCAAAGGTAAATGCATGCACTGTCTTAGCCATTGGTAGATAGTATTAACATATCAATTGACTCATGAATGACAGATAAATTGGGCGCTTTGTGGCCATTCTTAGGCATTGTGGCCGAAGTAGTGATTCTCTGCACAATTATTTTTATTTATGAAAAAAGACGAATAAAACCTGATTTCGATGACACCGAGGATAACAACACCGAACCGTAATTATCATTATTGATGACATGTTTTGTTATTATTATTAATGAATGTATTATTACTTAATAGGAAGGGAACTCAGGACAGGTCCGGTAAATCACAAGACGTGAGACAACGAAAATAATTAGTCATTTTTAGTGATATTTTTAGTTTATTTTCAATTCTTTGAACTCTTTTCACGTTAATTATTATAAAATACTTTATAATTTGAAGTCAAATCAAATTACTTGTAGAAATTCAGTCGTTATTTCCTAAATACCAGCTCTCTCTCTCTCTCTCTCTCTCTCTCTCTCTCTCTCTCTCTCTCTCTCTCTCTCTNGAATTGACTGAAATATACGATTAAAGCATTGGGTATATGGAGAAGTAGTTGCATGAATGGTGACACTCCCGAAGATAGTGATAATAGTGGTTAAGACAAACGCTCTCTGCCAATTTGTGAATAAGTTTTGATCTGAGATTAATAGAAGAAATCAATTAAATATATAATTTGTTTGATTCTTATGGTTATTAAGAAGAACTTATAAAGAGTTCAAATATGCGATAATATATTATAAAATACGATATATTGTTATATTGTGTAAAAGGTGTTGACATAGTATTGATGTCAATGTTTTGCACAATTAGTTTAAATAATAATAATAAAAGTGCAATTTAAGTGCAATCACATTTTACTCTATAGTCCAGGCCTTTGTTTCGTAGTCATTACTTCAGTTTTAATTAAAACTATAAATTGTTTTTATTTTATTTCATTAATCAATTTTAAATGATTTTGATTTAAATACTACTATAAATAAGTGATTGATTGATAGGAAAATTTACTTAAAAAACTACAAACAAATTACAACAACATATTAAACATACCATTACTTGTAATTACATTATAAATAAACTTATAATTATTAATCGATTGTTTGAATTTTGCCAACATTTAAATCTTTTGTAATCATAGATATATTAAAAAATTAAAATGTGTAAATTTTTATCATAAAAATTCAATTTATTAAAATATGTTAATTCAAATTTACAACAATTTCTAATATCATAATTATATTACTATTACTCTTCAAATCATAAATAATGAGTGATTCATAAAATTAATTACAAAATATATATACAATTCTAGCGAAGTATTCAAACAGAAGACTATTTAGTGATACCATAGGAAACATCGTTAGTATTAATGGCGACATTAGTAGCAATATTATCATCGATAAGGTTGTTGTAATGTTCACCTCTTGTGCAGGGATTGAATGGATAGAAAATGGTTTCCCTCATCGCTGTGGCAATCGATGTGCGAAGCCTTTCAAAAAAAGTCTTCTCAACTAAATCGTCGTTTTGTTGAAAGTCAAAGTCCGCCACTTCTAGTGTTATATTATTATTAGCTCTTTGTTGCAAATGATATGCAATACCCGCCACTACTATAACGATGGCCAGTATTGAGCTCACGACCGGTATTATCACAAATGATAACTGCGTTTGTCGTACGACTAATTCAAAAGAGAGCACACAATGTATAATCGATTCAACAAATATCCCAATCAATCACTTACTGTCGTAAACATTGACTTTAATTGTTTTATTGACGAAATTAACGTCATTATAGATCCCAATGTCTATATAATAAGTGCCGTTATATGGGAAGTAATGTGTAATTGGAAAGTAGCAGTCATTCGTATGGATCAGTTCTTTACTGCAGGTGTAGTTCGGGCGCAACTTCTTGGAGAACTCATAGCAATACCAAAATGGTTTATCCCCTGCCCTGCAGTGCACCTTCAGCTGCAGGAGTGCGCCGTCCAATAGCCATGTATTGCCGGTTACGTTCAGCCCTTGGATCTCGTTCTTAGCCTTAATAGTTGTGGTGAAGTGACCAAACTTTGAGATATTAGTCTTCATATACGATATATTGCAGAAAATGATCACTTCTACTTCAAACGTGGCATTCGTCGTGAAGTTGTACTTAAAAACAGGCGATGGGTTCGCGTCGTGTGTTTTACTCTCCAAAACCCACGTATAGTTACAAACCGATGAGTTCTTCAGTACGTGTGAGCCGTAGTTAATCTGAGCCATCAGTTGAACCTCTCTATTGGTGGCCACTATTCCGTCGGTTAAAGCCTTTTGCGAAACTCCCGATTGAGTGATATTTATATTTCCGGCCAAAGTGTCTATACGTTGGCAACAATTCATCATTAATTTTCACCCATTATCTCATAAATCAATGGCAACAACAATACCCTGAAGAACAAACTTATGGCGATCTTCAGCGATGAGCCAACCCTTGAAGCCCCAGATGTAGACAAAGACCTGTACTATCATAGTATAGGTTCCGCTAATGGTTTCGTTGGACTGATAGACGACAGTGTAATTGGTTTCGCGGCCACTGATTGTCTCGTATCGATGTCTTGGAGACAAACCGATGTCTTCGAAGACATACACGAATTGGTTCACTTCGATCGGCATTTGGCCACTCAGTCGGGCATTCATTGTCATCGGAATGTCCAGAACTCCCGGACCATCGCTCCAGACGTTCACCTGAGCTGTATATCATCGACAAAACATATGGTAAGTGTCGGGAGTGACCAATCAATTGATCCGATCATTGCATCTCTTACTGCAAAATACGCCTCCAATGCAAGACAAACACAAAACCAATGCTTTCACACAAATCTCAACACTATTTCCACTTTTCATATCGACTTTACGTTCAAATTGTTGTCATTTTTGTAATCAAACTAAAATCAAATATAAAAATATGTCATTAAATGATTGAAACTTTAATTCATTAATAAATCTGTAAATCCATTGAAAAGTATAGAAAAACGCAAATATTTTCGCAAAAAAAAACAATCATTTGTTTACAAATGAATTCACAAACAATACATACATTACGTCCTCTTATTGTTGTGCTCTCTATTGAGTGCAACCATTGGTTCATTCAAATGAACACATTTTATAAGCCAAACACCCATTGGTCTACTGATAACCATATCTGGCATTTAAACACATGTGTATTGACTAATGTATTGATTGAATCAATTTGATTGTGACAATGAGTGAAGAAGTGGAGGAAGGGATGGAAGCGATGGATGTGTTGACAAAAGTGTTGTCAGCCGTGGATGTGGTTCTCGATGACTGTCTTTCTGCCAATTGTGACGACACTCTCGTCCAGAAGTTGCTGTCATTTCTCAAACACGACCAACACTTCCCTTCGGAGCATAAGATTATGGTTTTGAAGTCATTGGAGAAGACAATTGACACGCCTTTGGATCAGTTGTTGGCCAATGATTGCCAACAATTGTCTACGAAATTACGCTTTTGTGGTTCACTTCTGTCCGATCGACAGCTCTTTGAATGTCAACAAAATTGTCTCAAATTTATTGAATTGATGTCCAATGAAGTGATTATTACTAACAAATCTTCGCTGAAGTATTCATTCGTGAGATGTCTTAACGATATAAGTGGTCACCGATTGGGATGTGATTGGATTTTGACCACAACTCTGAATAATCCAACAAATCTAAGGAGTTTTGCACACATTTTGTGGTATTTGATGAACAAAAGTGAGACCCGTTTTGTTGAACAAGAAGTGATCCAACTATTCATTTGTCTCGTAAACCATTCTTTGGCTCAAAAGGGTTTGTCTCACCATTTGGATCAAGTGATGGACCAAATGCTGGCATCAATTAATGCGAAGACTATTCATGTAATTAACCAAACATTCCATATAATTGAAAGAAAAGAGCAATTCATTAATGAATACAAATTAATTACTATTTTGATTGATTGCATCCCTAATTGGACTCAAAATAATGAGCAAAATGTGTATATTTTATGCCAAACAATAGGCCTTTGCGTTGATAGCAATGATTTAGCCCTTAAAGTAAGCCAACAATTGGTGGAAAACAATGATTTGATTGCTTTAATCGCATTCCTAACCAATTATATCCAACACAACAGTACTTGCGATCAAATATTTGTGAATAAATGGTTTAATTATACGATCGGTTCGTTAGTTATAAACACAG